TCTATTTTATTGTGTCTTGAAATTTAAATTTATTTTATTTTTTAGAGTTATTAGTCAAGTTTTTTGTTTTATTTATATTAGTTGAAATAATTATAACATTAAAATAGTATTATTATATTTAAATAAAAAACCTTATATATTAATACAAATTTTCCTATTAATTTTCAGGTAATTTGATCAGTACATTAATGGGTGACTGTGATCGTGATGGAGAACCACGCCCATCATCATCGCGCCCGATAAATTTAGAACCTCTTGATTAATTCACATTGATTTAATAAAAAGTACTTTTCTTACAAAAAAACTGGGTTTTTAATTTGTATTATAAAAAATAATTTTAACTAATTATAATATATAGCAATTTATTTGTGTTTTATTCTTATTATTGTTATATTTTTTAAATTCAACTTGAAAACCCCTTAATACTCATATATAAGARAACATAATTTTATATTTCATTGATGTATTAAACTTAATAGTAAATATATAACTAATGTATACTTATTGTTTTGTTTAATTTAGCATAATTTGCAATCATTTAAATTTTTAACTTTTGGTTTTTGCTTATCTTTAAGGATAGCTACAATTATAGTTCTTTAAAAATTACACTAAAATTTTTAAACACTTATGTATTAAAATATAGTTTATTTAATGTTTCTTAGTATGTATTTTTAAATCTATTTTAAAACTTTTACTAAAATCATACTATGTGTATATACTTATAAATAAATACTTATAATATATATTATATATGTGATAATGTTTGCGTATATGTATAGATATATGTAAAATATACAAAGAATAAAAACTATTTTAAAAGGATTCAATATAATTAAAAACATTCTATCCCCTCTCTTTTCTGCAGTGTAACCTGAACAAGATGTCTTGATCCACTTAAATTATCTCACAGTTATGGTTAAGGCACTGACGTGTTTATTCTGGTGTTTTATATTATAATACTAATGTACATAACGCATGCTAAAGTTTACTAYATTTTCTCATTTAAATTGCATAAAATGATGTACGTAAAGGGGTAAGTTATACATTTAAATTATTCCACTATTAAATTAATTACTTAAGATTTTATGGATATTGAAGCCTATATAAAATAAAATAAAATATTCATTAAATCATTGGATTGGGATAAAGATTTTTTTAATAATTGAAAAAGTRAACTTAATTTTGTTAAAAAAAAAATACCCTGAAAAAATCAAGGATGAAGAATAAAATGTTAAGTTTTGATATGATAAATACTTCTGGTTATGGTATTAAAATAATATTATTAAAGTAAAAGATAAAATATCAAGTTACATTGTCCTTTTATGATAATAATAAACAATAATGGAGCTGTATAACGTTCATATTGTGGTTAATATAAAATACTAAGTATATTATTATTTGAATTTTCAAAGAACATAATATGGGTATTATARGAAATTTCACAGTTTCATACTTTCATAGTGTTTAAGAATTACTGATTTTTATTAGAAGTAATTTTTACTCTGCCAATTAGTATTAGTTCAACTTTTCTAAAGCATTTAAATAAGCTTATAGAAGTACATAATATGCTGTACAAATAAAGCTAAACAACGATGATAAATCTTTACATTCTTTTTAAAAAAACTTTTATTAGCTAAAATTGTTTTATTTAAAATTATAAAATTATTTTAAATAGGTATCTAGTCATAACTCTTAGATTAATTTTTACTGTTAATGTGATTTTTAAGATTACCAGAATATTTTAAAATTATTTTGCCATGTTGCAACCATAACATGCCACCAATATCCAATCTACAAAGGTGAGRAAATGTTAACTGAAAAACATGGTATTAAGAGAACAGTGTATTACTAGTACTCGCGTGTGTTATCTCCGTAACATACTTAGATAGGTACTAAAATGTACTGCAGCAGTTGCTTCCAATTATTTATATTTTGCAATAATATAAGAGTTATCACACTTAAAAGTATAAACATTATCTCTGTTCTCTCGTTAGTGCTATATCATATATTTTTCAAAGTATAGTATACAATTTTGAATTTCCTGACAGCATTTTGGTTTTGTAWATAAATAMAATCATATCATATCGTCGAATAGTAAAGTAACATGTAGTTGAGTAGGTAGGTACCTAATAGAGTGATAATTATTTTAATTGTTTTATTTGTAAATCTGATTTAAGAATAAACTAGCGTGACGAAAATACGAAATTAACATATAATATTTTAATCCAATAGTTTGTTTGTTTTTTTTTAACTTGAATTCATCCAAGTATCTTAATAAAATATATTTGGCACAAGACCTAATGCTCTCTAATCTTTCTAAATTTAACACTTAAGTCTCCAGTTATTTGTTAAAAGTAATAAACCTATCATGRTGATGTCACGCTTTAACGGAACTCGTAAATAATATATATTTTAAAGTCGTGTTTGTCGTATATAAATATATCTATATATTATTATACTATAACATAAAATATATTTGTGTAGGTTTGTTAATATTTTTATTATTATTTTTTTTTTTTAGAAATTATTTAAGATGGACACAAATTATTTTATTTGCAACGATTATATTTCCTACTAGAATAAACTCTTCAGCAAGTATGTGCTCCGTATCTACTCCTACACCTAATAACTTATTAGAGAAAACGATGGCTAATTATGATCATATTTATTATATTGTATATATAATATATTATAAATATTTATCATAATATTATATATTAATATATCATAGCCTATCAGCTATCATCATTAGGCTATAAAAAATAAGGCTATAATTTGTTTACTTGATTTTAAAAATAAGCTTTTCCTATGCACCTATTAATAAAGTAAATGAATGTTATTTTCTTTGGTTATAGGTGAAAAACTTCAGACACATTCTGGAATTTCTACTGATTATTCGGGTAAATAATAAAAATACATTTTATTTATCTAATAATAGTTACYTAATATTAAGCAATAAAGATCAGTTCTTGTACAGTTGAATAATACATACCTACTCAACGTGTAGGTAACTTGTAACTAACATTTAATTACTTACTATTTACTAATGTAGTTATGTATGATGTACCCATTAGATATGATKAAAAAGACACATCACAGTATGTAGTTAAGACACCGAGAACCTGGCCATAATCGGTACCTATTTACTATAGGTAATACACTAATCGGTTACCATATCTATTTGAACGATAATTAAAGGTAGTTGGTATTGATTATTAGGTACTAACCATCATGATCATGCAGTGATATACTTATACAGTCGACTTTCGATAATTCAAACCTTAAATAATTCGAAACCTTTGGTAATTCAAAGTTAATGCTAGGTCCCTCGAAAATCCCTCGGTAATTCGAATAAAAACACTAAATTTAAGTACACTCGGTAATTATAAATTACATTTTGTGAAAACTGGACACTRTAACACGTGAAAATTCGAAGTATCATCCGTTCAACGCTCAGTAATTCGAAATATATTCTCCAAATTTAAAAAATTACGAAAAAATGAAATTATATTCAATGAAGCAGAAAACCATTACAGATTTCTTCAAAAAATAATAATTGACTGTATAGTGTACCAGTGCACTTATTACGAATTGTATTGATTTGTTAAGAATAGACATTTTACCTAGATGGCTAGGTCTAATCCTTAGCTATCTTTATTCTTCTCTTAGTTCCTAATCTAAAGTAGAGAAAGAAGAGGTAACAGTCACGAGCCACCGAAGTTGGCCATTTAAAGCTTTTATTTCATATTATACCTACTTAAAATGTATATATTTATTGCYGAAGTGTCAAAGTTTAAAGTAACGTAAAATCCAGTAACTTATTGATAGATATTTTTCTTTATTTTGAAAACATAAGCTATACATGCAACATGATTGTGAACGTAGTGAAGAAGTATTATAAGTATTACGTTATCTCATAGAACTTTATGAAAGTACCTAACCATCATCATTGGTCATCTTGGAGGCCTGCAATAATTCGGATTATTGTAATAGAAGTTTCATTAGTTGATATAACATATAAGCATAGTCCGATAGTCACATAATAGGTAKTTCTTTTAGCCAGTGGCGAGGCGAGCTATTTTAACACAAGGAGCAAAGATTTTARTCTAGGTACCCACCCATCATCYAATAATKTATCAAATACACAAAAAATCAGATTATCTTGTTGCTTATTTATATTATAGTAGGACATAGGTACATCATTACTTCTAGTATATATGCGTATATGATCAATTGTAATACCGCCACCCACCCAAAATTTGGAGGAGTTGACGCTCCTCTAAACCCCCTTCACCACGCCACTGCTTTTAGCAATAATAGAACTACGATATTAAACATAGCTAAATTTAGATTTGTATCGAAAGTTCAAAAGCCACAAGAGATTATAGTAAGTTAATCTAACCCAAGTCGACTGAACCTCTAATAGAAATATTTCGCTTTTTTTGACCATTCAAACTAATAATTAAAAGATAAATTAAAAAGATTATAAAAATGTGTAGAACTGCAAATAATACACTACTACTGTGTTGACAACTTTATCCAGCAGTTGTTCTTATTTGTGCAGAGCGCGTAAATTATAATGCAATATTAATAAAAAAAAGTAGAGACTGAGATACATTATCTKTTATTGTAAACGYCATTGATCTCATAGGCCTATACAAATAATGATGTAAACACGTTCACACATCTGTTAAAATCATTATTTACATAATATTGTAAGTATTTACATCAACATCGTTATTTACTATGAAAGTTATATTAATTATGGGTGTATACATTCGTCATGCTATAATAACGGTAATGTTTTGTACAGATTATGATGAGGGCACCAGTAAGCCCGTTAAGGATCAAGCATCGGCCCAGATGCCGTGTGGAGACTTCCGGCCGGGGGAAGACGATCTACAAATAATCGATTTTATTAGAAAATTTGGGTTGGATTCGGCAGAAGAAATATATAAAAAAAGTGTAATCAAAGTGATAGGATCTAACCGTTTTCAGACCGCTTATAGGGTGGAAAAAATAGCACGTTTAATAATGCCAACAAGGTATTTAACAAAATTACATCAACTTCACTATCTTGTATAGAGTGATGTAGACTACAGTATACAGTATACTAATATCAATATATATATATAGGTATTAAACTACTAACACGCACAAGTTATATAGTTATATGAGTTAATTATAGACTATATTATAAACTAAAGGGTTAACATATAATAATATAATATACTATATAGTCAACGCTCTATACAGTAGTAGTACTAGAAATAGTAAGTAGACAAAAGTGATAATAGGTACCTACAATCTACTTATAATATTAATGATAATTTTATTATTTTAATTATCTATTACTGCATTGTCATAATTATAAATAAGTGCTTCGATCTTAGTGCGCTGGTTTAATATTAGCATTTCCACCGGATGCATCCGAGTTCCGTCCCAAGAACCTTTTTTATACCAATTCCGTCCTAGGTAAAAGAAGGTAGGTATATATATATTAATTCCGCCTTTAATAATTTTTATAATTTATTCGTCAATAATCATATTTTAAGCTATTAAGAATCTAAAAATCTGCTCTTTAATTATTATAAATTTAGTTATTTTAACAATTTTTATATATGCTTTGTTTTTGAATACTTGTTTTTAATAATTAAAATTTTACCTTTTTCACTGTACACCTATTGTATACTTTAAATTTTTTATATAATACATCAAAATGGCACGGACACGCACATATAACGACTGAAAAGTTTATTTGGTTCAATTACTGAAATCATATTATCTTTATTTATAAATAATATGATATTGTTAAATTTTACTTGACACGACGGAATTGGTACCTATATCAGTGGAAAAAAAACCAGGGACAGAACCAGTATATCTTAAAATTACATTTTTATATTTGGGACAGAACTCGGATATTAGTACTGTTTGATTTGTTTATTGTTTACAGAAATGTATTTCCTTTGGGCATACCTCAACAGTTTTCTTTTATTGCTACGTTCAGCTCTAGAATGGTAACCAGAGCACAGTGGCACATACTTAAAATTGTTGATTACCAGAATAGCACTAATTTACAAATTTCACTAAATCAAGTTGTGGGGACCGTAGAATTCTCTATTGTTAATTATGACGGGTACTTACAAACTGTAAAATTTGAAGCAAACTACGTAAGTTAATTTAATATATACCTACCTACTAATTGAAAAATTTAACCACTATGTTGTAAAAGTATAGTWTATAACCAATCTTYTCTTCTTGATCATCAGTCATCATGTACTAGCTTTTTGGGTAGTAATAGTAATTAATATTCCTATTAGAACATTAATTATGTACATATACAAATGTAAATATTTTATACAAACTACATTTAKTAATAATCATATTTAATATGCACGGTTTCTTAGTTCAATGATAAAATCTATTTTCTCGAAGTTATACAATTTTAATTTAATTCTTTTTGACTGTATAATAATACTGTAAAGTTCAGCGGAAAGATATAATTTTACATTCAAATAATTATGTTTTATCTTCTATTTATTTTTATTATTTTAGTTAAGAAAAATATTTATGTATTAAATATGATATTATAATGAATATATCACCATTTTTTACCAAATTTTTTCCCAAATTTTTTTTTTTTTTTTTGTTGAAATTGTTGAAATAGATTAAGTAAATAATAATTTAGTAAACTACCTTATAATTTATTATTTTACCACAAGATTATTGAATAAAATATTTTCAAATTGTTTAGATTTTTGATAGAAATTGGCATAAATTACATTTTGGAGTATTTTATGATAGAGTAGTACTTTACATAGATTGTAAACAAGTTGGAGTTAAAATGTTGGAACCTAGAGGTACTGTGGATATGTTTGGTAATACAGCCTTAGTGATAAATAACGATTATCAAGCAGCACCAGTAAGTTGCATTAAAAACTATAATTAATTTCAAATTATTAATTAAGTGAATTTAGGTGGATGTACAATGGATAACACTTAGTTGTGATCCAACGAAACCACAACGGGAAGGATGTGCTGAATTATATCTAGTAATAATTAAAAATAATATTTTACTCTYGTTCATTTTAAATAACTTTAAATTGTCATAAAGATGAGAGAAGAATCTGTACAAATTCAACAACCAGATGTAGCTACGACTGGTAGTAATTGTCCTTTTCGAGAAAATCAATGCGCAAACAAACATCCACCAATTATAAATCAAAGTAAACAGGGACCGCCTGGACCACAAGGACCACYTGGACCATCTGGACCACAAGGACAAGAAGGGCCACAGGGACTAACAGGACCACAAGGCCCTCCAGGTCAACCAGGAATTCCAGGAGCAGAAGTAATAAAAATGTTATTTAATTATAATGTGTACAATTAAGTTATAACTTATATGGTTTATTAATTTTCTAATATTCAATTAAATTMAATTCATATAATTATAATTATATACCTAATAATTTGCTGTTTTACTAATCTTCGTTCCATAAATATCAATATGTACGATTTATTTAAAGGGCCCGCGAGGATATCAGGGTTTACCCGGTACACCAGGTATACCAGCACTGCCCGCTTTACAAGGAGAAAAAGGAGAAAGAGTAAAAAATATTGACTAATATAAATTATGTAGTATGATATTAATTTAATTTAAAATGAACGAAATTAATTACAGGGAGAACCTGGAATTCAAGGTATTAAAGGTGAACCTGGACTTCCTGGAACTATAACTTATATTCCAGCTAAATTAGAAACACAATATATAAGACCGGTAGGTATTTATTTGTTTGTGACTATGTTGGTAAATCAAATATGAATTTCTTATGAATGTAGATGATATATTATTTAATATACCTACTAAAGTATATTTTAGACTTTGTGTGGACTGTGGAGCAATATTTTTTTTGATTTTACTATGGTATTTATGTCTATCATMTTATGTATTCATGATCTTTTAGAGCAGTAATTATAACTGAAAAATTTGTTTTTTATAAAGTGTGATTTATATACGAAAAACCAGTTGTAGATAAAAACTATTTCCTTATTTCGAATTCAGTCCCTAAAATTGTGTGTTGTACGACACACTTTGTGTAGTACGAAAAGTGCAGTGTATTGTACGAAATTTAAAAGTGTGTTATTCTCGTTAAACCTTTATAATAATACTACAGTAGAAACTCGATTATCTGAACCTCCGTTATACGAACCCTCTATTATCCGAACTATAATTAGCGTATCAGAAGTTTCTGTTATTCGAACGTGAAAGATGTCGATGAAAAAGATTCTTTCAGAAAAAATCTTGAAAACTTAATACAGCTGGGTTGCTTATAAATTATTATGACTAGAAATAAATAAAAAGTTAAGCAAATTCAACAAATATTTTTTTGAGCATTTGATGTTTA